GCATAAATGGCTGGGGCTGCAAGAAGAGGCAGGGTCTCAGTGGATGATCTGTCTCAGGCCTCTTGTCTGTTAAGGTGGATGAGGTATGCTCAGATAGATACAGGAAACAACACTGAAGAAACATTGGAAAGGAAACGCATCCGAGAACTGAGAATGAGAGGAAGCCGAATTTGAAACAAGCGTGGGAGACCTAAGATCTAGATGTGGGTCACATTGAGCAGCAGCGCTGCCCTGAGCTGGCAAGTCCAGGCTTTCTGAGTCTTCATAAGAACGCAGTGCTCACCCATGAAAAGGACGGCTAGCCAAAGGGCAGTAGAATGAGAGATGTGTCTACGTAGTACCCAAGCAAAATGCTCCCCTGGCTGGAACCAGGTCCCAGCTACGAGCTCCTGGTCTGCATCTGGGCTGTCTCACCTCCTGTTTCTATCTGCTCCCTTCACAACAGGTCGCTATTGCTGGGTAAAGTGCAAGTTTGATAAATAGTGAGCTTAGTTCTGTAGCTGGTTTATGGTTGAAGCCAACCACTGCAGAGAATACAGAGAAGGGAGGAGAGTCCTGGCAATATTTCTCCTATAAGAAATTGGCTGGAAGGCTCACTCCCAGTCCAACACCCTGGATGCACCAACTCTCCTAACCCTGAAACCAAAAGGTAGCTTCTTGGCCCTGTAGGGGTCACTCAGTAGCCTATGGACCTGTCAGTGAAATAAACGCCTCAGTGTGCCTCACCCCCTCCCCCAAATGGTAGTGTCTTAAATTGAGCCTCCACGGGATGAAGCAGGGTTGGGTTACCCACGCTGAGACAGTCAACATCCTTGGTTACACTGAGGAGGAAGCAGATTTGACTCACAAAAAGAATTAGAAAGTGGGAGACAACTGTTTTATTTCACTCTCCACAGGGAAAAGACCATCCACCGTGTGGTGTGGAATCTGAATTCAGGCTGCCGAGTCTCTCCAAGCTCTGGCAAGCAAGGGCATTGCATGGCCACATCTATAACTAAAGAGACATGTGTGTTTGAAGGGTTAGGTCTTACTGGAGTGCCCAGAGACCACCCTGTGAATCTTTGGCTGCCCAAGATCTTTGCTACCCATCAGAGCATAGATGAAGAGCTCCCACAGCCCAGTCACCCAACTGACATGACTTGGATAAGAACAGACAAACCTCAAGACAGTAAAAGGGTCAATGGTAGCATCGAGTCTTGAGAAAGATGTGAAAAATTGTCTATGAAAACAGTATTAAAGACAAGCGTGATTTCCTGAACCAATGCTCATGATAAAAAAAAAAACAAGGAGTTTCCTGCTAAGGATGAATGTGAATCTTACAAAACCCAGCAGTAAGTGGTTGCTTGATTTAATAAAGAATTGATGCCAAGAAATAAAGACAGAACTTAAAAAGAGACAACACATACAACAGCAAAATCGCTGCCGTGGAGAAGGAAACGCTCGTCAGTGCTTCAGGAACCAGAGAGAAGCCAATCCCAATTACGATGGGAAAGGGCGCCATCAGAGAGAAAGCGGTCAGAGTTTTAACCACACACGTCCCTGTCGAATGGGACTCACGAATCTATAAAGAAGAAAAAGAGGAGGGAAAGGAGGAGGAAACAAAAGAAGGAAGTAGAAGGAAGAGAAGGAAGAGGCTCTAAAGGCAACAGAATGAATTAAAAGTATCTCAGAATCTTGCAGGTTAAAGGAGACATCTGGAATCCATGTAAGAAAATCAGTGAATCTCTGGAGAAGGGGGGAAATGGAAAGATGAAGGAAGGTTTAGGAGAGATCATCAGATATTGTGGCAGAGGTGAGGAGAATGTCCACTAAGTGTGGGACATTGTCTGTACAGGGGCTTCTGTCAATCTTTGGAGCAGCCTGGCAATGTGGGTAGACAAACTCTTCTTTAAAGTGGAGATATGAGGCCATTGGGCAGTTCAATATTTCTATCACACCAGTGGATTGATAACTAGAAAAAAAAGAACTCAGAGCTTTTCTGGTGATGCCATTACCAGACAGAATGCCCCAAGACCCAGAGAGGCTGGCAGAAGTAGTGGACTTGCTTGTCACCCAGGCAGCCATGGGGTGGCAGTTTTGCATTAGGTGTAGCATTAGTAGTGTCTAAATGGAAAAGGAGATTCCACAGGCCAGTTGCCCAGTGCACTCAGCAGGTAGACAGCAAAGCCAGACTGAACAGAGAGCTCAGCTGTCTAAGTCTGGTAGGTATAGTGCAATCTTTGTCTTCCTTAATCTCCAAATGAGCTAAGGACCAAGTGGATCTTCCTTGGATTTCACTCTTCTTGGGTGTCAGAGAACATGCAAGACCCTGGGCTAAAGGAGGCCTTTAAGTTTGTAAGATAAATGAGTTGACTTAGTGTGCTGTGTTTCTTACTGTTCATTGTATAACTGGTTCCTTATGTTTTCCAAGCCAACCAGCAAGGCAGCTTTCAAGACCCCAGGACAGTGTCCTGCACCTGGAGTTATTGATGTTCCTGTCCTCTGTCCAGCTCACTGTCTCAGGGCATCGCCACAGTTCCCGCTGTACATCTTCCTATAGCTTTTAAGGCACTGTGCTACCCATAGCTCTAACACCCCGAGACCCAGGGCACCTTCTAAGTCAATTAGGAAATAGAACCTTCAAAAGTAAGATCCTATGTCCTAACTGGACCCTAGAAAATGTGAAAGAGTTGGAAATGTTTAGAGATGCTAGTTGCTATGTAATCATAAAAACAACATGGCCTCATATGACATTTCAATTCCATTTTCACACTACACAGGCAGAATTCTATACCTTATGGTCTGAGCAACCTTTCTTGAGATAATATTTAAAAATTATATTGTTTTCTTCCAAGGAAAGCCTTAATTTGGGAGGATAATGGGATTCATATTAGTACAAACTGATACACACCACACACACACAGGCACTATAGACGCTCAACCATACACATATATACATGCACACACTGCATACAAACACATGTGTCACACACACCACACTCACAGACAACACATACATACCACAGACACTCAACCATATACATATATACATGCACACATACTGTACAAACACAAGTATCACATATATACACAAATACACACACACACACACACACTCAAAGTCAAACTGAAATACATTGTCCCTGGCACTTAAACAGAGTTCTGAAGCCATGTATTATATCTTAGCTGCAAACACATCCACAGTTGAAATTCTGAAGAGAGACGCGATTATGGCCAGATCCCTCACACCCCCATGCAAGATGATCTTTTAAACATTGTTAACTTCTACTGACTTTTTGCACAATGAACCCCTTCTCCTAGATTACCCGAAACCAGATGCACCTACTCCCTGTCTTATAAAATTGTTAAAGTTGGTCAGTCACTCAGAATTCCTGTTAGATGAGTGATGCACTTTTCAACCTCCCTGTAGTTTAGGGCTCTAAATATACTACCACTTTATAAAAATCTGTGGCACATTCCAGAAAGTTTGAATCCACTTTCCCAGATTTCAATCCTGTAGCACCTCCAAAATATAATTTTCTTTGTTCCTGGCTAGGGTGGTTTTATCCTGTAGGTTCACAGCACCTAAAGAAACACACTAAGGAAAATATCCAGTCTTGTAACACAATTAACCGTTTTGGTGAATTCATTCTGGTTATTTTTACTTTTTGGGTTAGGGTTTCCCTGTAGCCCCAGCTGTCCTGGAACTCTCTGTAAACCAGGTCGGCCTCAATCTCACAGAGATCTACCTGTTTCTGTCTCCCAAGTGCTGGTATTAAAGGTGTATGCCACCATACCCAGCACCAATTTCGGGTATTTAAAAATTGAAGAAATAAAAGTTCTACCTTTTGCCACTATTAAGATATGTCTGGGTCTATGTAAGCATTTCAAATAAATACAGTCTTTAAATACTAATTCGCAAAGCACCTCACATGTCAGAACCACTAAAAAGTGTGTGTTCATTCTAAAACAAAGCCAAAGACATAAACCTGAAAGCCTGGATGTTGACCTCTTCTCCGGTATTATCACTCTCCCAAAAGATTGTTTGTTTGTTTGTTTGTTTGGTTGGTTGGTTGGTTGGTTGGTTGGTTTGGTTTGCTGACTGCTGGCTTACTTAGTTGTTTTTTGAGACAAGTACTTCTCCTGCCTCTTGAGTACTGGTGTCACAGGTATGTACCACCATACCCAGATAACCCATTAGACTGTGTTACAAATCTGCATTCATGTCCAGATGACTACAGGGGTCTATCCTGCTGACAGTCAACAATAAAACCCTTGGCTTTTCTATGTGTTAACTTGGAATCCATTGTCTGGCTGTAGTTCACAGGATTTGTTTCTAACAGTATCATCAGGCATTCTAGTCAGTATGATCTAGTCTACTCAGTGCAAAAGAGAACCATGTTCCTTACATCTGTGGGAACAGATGGCTGTCTCCGGGGCCATCAGTTGCCAGGCTGTCATTTAGAAGAAGCAGGATGGTGTGCAAGGCTTCTGCCACCTTCCATGGCTCACTCTCTTCTTCCAGCTGGTTCTGCAGGGCCACCAGACTGTAGCTGGCACTCGCAAGCATATTCTGCAGTAGGCCACCCTGTTGCCACTGTTCAAACACCTGCCAAGGTAGAAACAAAGTATATTCTTGACACTGGAAATAGTGTACTTATTTAGGAAATAGTAACAGACCATTCTAAATAACAATTTTTAATTTTTGATAAATTGCAGTGTCATTACAATTGTATTATGATTCAATGTCTACTCCAAAATTAGAGATGGAAAACCTCAACAATGGACATGCAGCCTATTTGTTATCCTCTATTCTTTCTTTTGTTCCTCCAAAGAGAAATAAGAAAATGAGAGGCTAAAAATACACATTTCACTTAAAATCATCTAATTTGAAAATTGAATTAATACAGTTAAGATAGCTTAAGTACAATTATAAACTTGAAAATCTATGCCATTATTAATATGCATGCTCAGAATGTGACATGTCTGGGGATGATTCTCGAGGCAGCTGGTGCTCATGTCTCATGCAGTGTGAGAATACACATGATACAAAGGCGAGTAGACTAATGAGGGTTTAACCATCAACCCACGTGGCACATGAGGCAAGGCGTCTGGCTGAACACTTCAACTCGGCCACTTCAGAGCAGTCTCTTGGTCATTTCAGTGGTGGAGAAGTTAGATGCTATCAAGTGGACAATCACACAAACTTTTCTAAAGCTGTTTTACCCACTACTTGAGATTTTGATCTTTATCAGTCACACGTGTTTTTTGGGGGGTGGGGGAGTGGACAAAGATTTTAAGAGGATGAATTCTTCAAGTCAAAAAACAGGAGAGGGGATGTGACACTCGACAAAGAATGAGTGGTGTTGTGGTGGGAGTGTAGCCTGTTAGGAGCTAAAATATCTCAAGATACAGCTGTGAGCTGGCCAGGGCTTCTGCGAACTTCTTCAGCCCTCTGTTGATTGGAGTGTGCTGCCACACACTGGCACCTCTAAACAGTGCCCACACACACACACACTTTTATTCTGCCTTACATCTGAGGAGACAGTTTGCTTTTAAGTCACAATCATCACTTTTGCACGATGTTTCATGGGGGGGGGGGAAGGCACACATAAGGCACACACAAGGCACACTGAACATTTTCATATTCAGTCAAAGTGGCCCAAGGGATCTCAAATGTCAGCAACAGAGCACAGATCTAGGGACCTCTTCACTATTAGGCGTGTTTGTAAGCCTAGGTCATATTTTTTGGTGGCTTGTGCTGAAGATATGATGAGCTGAGGCTGTTGAACACATGTAAGAGTAGGGGCACACAATGACCAGATGTGGGTCAATCACAGAATTACGTGGGGAATGACATGCTGGCAAAGGCCTTCCTTTGCACAGAGCATCCAGATGCAGAACAGCACCTGTCCATAGAGTTTCAGCCAGCTGACCACATGGAGGAGATAGTTCTTGACTTCTGACCCCTTGTGGTGAGAGTCTGCACTGCAGCCTTTGCTTTCAGCTTCATCCTCAGCTTCAACCTCAGACGTGTTGGCCAAGACTAAGCATATCATCCTTTCTAGGAAACCGCCTGTAGGAATCTGGAAATGACAGGAAAAGAAATACTCAGAAGTAAAATCTTTTTTCCCTAGAATGTGTCTCTTCCAAAAGATAACGCCCCAGTCTTGCTGAAGTGAAAACTCACACATGTGCCTGTTTGAAGAAGCAAGAGGTGCTAAAGTACCACTTATAATGTCTGTGTGACATATCCCCAGGGTAAGGATATCTCCAGTAGGTAAGGAAGGAAATGGATCCTACTTTTTTAGGATCAGGCACAGACAATGGGAGCAGCTGTTTCTCTGGGAGGAAGATGGGGATAGGGGTAGGGAGGAGAGATTTGGTGTTGCAGATGAAATTAAGGTTCTAATCAACTGGCTGAATAGTGGATTATCCTGGATCATCAAGTGGGTCCAAAGAAACCACAAGATCCCTTAGGACCAGTAACAGTAAATGGAGGAGTTAGTGTCAGAGAGAAAGGACAAGGCCTATCGAGACATTGCTGGATTTACTGGGAGAAGAACCACAAGCAGGGAAAGTGGGCAGCCTCTAGAACGTGGGAAAGGCAAGAAAAGCGAGAAAAGCCCCAGAATACACCACTCCAAAATATACCTCTTTGACATGAGTTATTCTCAGCAAAAGGAGACTATGGCTAAAAATAAGCAGATATAGGAAAAGCTCCTGACCTTTGCCCTACCTATCAAAAAGCAGAGTATGAATTTCTTATTTCCATTTACACATATGATTAAGAAAATGCTTCCCGACCCCTCTGATCACCTAGAGGCTGTCCTGAGCATAAGATGCCCCAAATCTATCAGATTCTACCCTGTCCTGCCCATCACTTTCCTCCCCAAATAGAAACCCAAGCCCTTTTCCTGTGTTTAGACTACAGTGGTATCTCGGGCCCCAGTCATCTGGGGTCCTCCTTGGCCTGTTTTTCTTTGTCAACTCTCATGCATATCTATATCACTAAAATGGAGTTTTCTCTAGTTTATTTCTCTGTTATTTTAATTTGTGAGCCCAGCCACTAAACCTAGAAGGCTAAAGGAAAAAAAAAAAAGGAGTTTTATTCTTTGCTGCAGTATCTCTGGCAGATCCTCCAGAAGGAATGCAGTTCTGAAGATCCCCTGATTTTGGCTGCAGGGGACCATTCTGGACTTCTGACAGAAGTGTACAATAGTGGGTATGGGTTGTTTTCAGCCACAGCACTGGTTTTCTTGTGCTGTAACAGTGATGGATGCTTGTACACATTGTATGCAACAGTCACAGTGCTCTATGGATACACAGTGACCTTTCCTGATCATTTCCCTTTAGATCCTAATCTCAAAATATTTACCTTTCCAACAGGAAAGTCACACCTTTTTCCCTTGACTATTATTCTAACACAAGGAGAAAGCTGGGTCATGAAGGGGGGGAACTGGAGTAGAAGTCAGCCAACTGGGGCTTCATGAGAACAACAGCCATGGGAAATGCTGGGGACCAAAATCTCAAGTCTACCAGATGTACATGGTTCGTAAACCTGTCAGTTAATGAAATTTTGCCAGGTGGGAGACAGGAAGCCTACACCTGCTGGGTAGAACTGGTTTTTCAAATACTATGTCATCCCATGAGTCAGCCATAAATCACCTATCTAAACTCCCAAGATAAGAGTGCAGATCTGGGGTCCAAGAGAATAAAGCAATATTTTAAGTGTGGACAGTCTCAGTAGCAACAGTAACTGCATTTCCATGTATAAAGCACTATCTCAGTTCATTATCTGTTGCCTCAGGAGAATACCTGAGACTGGATGACGTATAAAGAACAGAGGTTCATATAGCTCAAGCATCTGGAGGCTGGCATGTGTAAGAACATAGCACTGGCAACGTTTTGGCATGGGATAGAGACTCATGTTTTATGGAAACATGACAACTGGTATTATATGATTAGACAAGGTAAGGGTACTAACTCAGGTCTCTCCTAAGAAACCCACCAGTGTCATCATGAAGTCGCTACCTTCATCTAATCCTAATTGCTCCCAGATGGTCTACCTCAAAGTACTAATAATATAGGAATTCATGTATGGACCAGCTTTTCCATATGTGAACTTTTGGGGACATACTCAAAGCACAGCTGTTCAGAAAGGGTCCTCACAGAGATGTGGGAAATCATAGGGAAGTTAGTTACATCCCACCCTAATATGTTTCAAGACTCCAAGAGGAGACACTGGTCTTCCCTAAACATAGAAGAAAAGCCCTATACCTAGAGGTGGGGCCAAAGCTGCAGGTGTGTGTTCTTATACCTGCTGTAAAGCAGAAGGGCCTCCAAATTGACTGGAACCATAGACGAGAGCTCTGCAGGCAAAAGACACCCACAGAGCCTCCGAAATATCCGTGTGAGCTGTGTCCTAAGGGTGAGCTGGTCTAAAACCTTTGTTTCACCTAGCTTAGAGCTGAAGCTCAGCTTTAGCACACCTACCTCCTCTAATCATAGTTTCTCTTTGCCTGGAAAATCTCCCAGACTGCCCGGCCTGCTTCCACTGAGACAACACTCTCCTGTCTAGAACCAACTAGCAGGTCTAGTTGGCAAACATCACTATAGCACCACCTTGCCTGGCTTCTTCCACTGCTGGTTCCCAGAATAATCAAGTTTACCTCACTTCCAAATTGCTGTTGAATGTTGATATAAAAATGATAAGGAAATAAAGGAACATCTAGAAAAATCCAAAGACAACTGGGACATGCTATACCTAAGGATCTCAGGGTTTAGCCGTGGAATTCTCCTGTCTAGACACTGTCTCCCACTGACACTGCCCTCTGACAACTGCCAGTGGTGCACAGTTGTCCCTCCTGCTCTATGCAGCATTGACTCCAGGACCCTCCAAGAATTCCACAAACCACAGATGCTCAAGTATCCTATTCAAAATGGCACAGTGTTGGCATACGACCTACAAAATTATATTTTAGCTCATCTCTGGACAACTTAAAATACCTAATAAAATTATTTTATGTTGTTGTTTAGGGTATAATGACCAGGAAATTAGCCTGTCCATTTTCAGCATAGACTAAAACTTCTTATCTGCAGTTGAGTGTGAAACACAGTAATGCAGAGGAATGACTCTACAGTCACTGTCAAGGATGCCCAGTGACCTGGCAAACACACAAGTGCGCATACCTCCTTCAGCTCAACTGAGTAATTCAGGATTCGCTCCATTTGAAGATCATCAAAACCGAACTGGGATTGAAGATCAGACCGGACTTGCTGTGGATCCCATACCATATTATTCAGGGACAGGTGATAAACTGACTCTGTGAACACATGTGATAACCATTGGTTATTTTGCTATTCAGCTGTGTCTACAGTAATTAAAAAATAATATCATTTTTACCACTAAAGTGACAGAAAATTGAATTATTTGGGCATCAAATAAGAACAGTGAGTGAAGGGCTGGAGAGATGACTCAACAGTTAAGGGCACTTAACTGCTCTTGTAGAGCATTCTGGTTCAGTTCTTATAAGTTTGACTTCTAAATTTGGCATAGTAAGACATTACAAGCAAATAATAATAATAATAGAGCAATACTCTGTCTCAATAAAACTCCCAGGGCCACTCCCCTTGCACTTTGAGGTCATTATTAAGTAAAATAAAAGTTACTTAATGGGAGCACTGCGATGTCGTGACTCATGACCTGATAACCATGAGGCTGCTAAGTGACTGATGTGCAGGCAGTGCATGCAGCATGGATACATGGGATGATTACTGGTCAAGGCAAAATGGAACAGGACAATGTGAGATTTCATCTCATTATTCAGAAGGTCATGATATTTAAAACTTATAAATTGGGTCTGGAGACACCACTCAGGAGTTAAGAGTGCTTGCTGCCGATCAGTTTGGTTTTCAGCACCCATATACTGGACAGCTCACTGTAACTCCAGCTCCAAAGGATCTAATGCCCTCTTCTGGCCTCTATTGGTACATATACCCACATAGAAACATGCACATACACATGAATAAAAATTAAAAATACGTCTTTGAAACTCATCAACTGCTTGTTTCTTGGAATCATCTGCTTAATATTTGGGTGCTGCAGTTGGCTGTGGGTAATTAAAACTACAAAACTTCTAAAACTGTTTCTCAAGTGACAATCAGACAACCAAATGAAAGTTGATGTATAGTCTTACTGCCTTGGTTTCATACTACTTCAATATTGAAAAATAGCTACATCTAACATCAAGGAGAAGGGTCCCTAATGTAAAATGCTGTGGAGACCTTAAAACCCTATTCCCAAAGTAAATGTCACAGCATTAAGTTTTTTTCAGCTGAAATAATTAAGACAGAAAGCCTACAACCTGCTCAAATAGACAGACAACAAACACCATGTAAGAGTGACACCCCAAAATGTAAGTCCCAAACTCTGAAGTCTAACAAAATCTCTGGGGAGCATGTCCTGGAAACACAACAGTGTATAAACTATTAGGGGAGCTGGATCCAACAAACCAGATGTAGAACTAGATCATTTTAGATCACAATTCTACAGTCAACTGCCATGTGCCTACATGTGCCAGCCACCTGCAAAACCGCCTCCACATGCATGGGCTCAGATAACCCTAAAGTGAATGCTGTGCCCTGAGCACTTCATACAAGGCCCAACCATGACATGTGGGGGGAAAAGGAGTCAAAGGGACTTCAGGAAGCTGTCGAAGATGAGGCAGATCCCAGAAATCCAAGAGTCTTGGCTTTAAGCCTTTGCAAGGCACCAATGGGGGGTGGGGTCGGGGGAGTTGGTTTCTAAGATCAAAAGTAGCCCTCATGGATGCTAAAGATGTGCTAGACTTTGAATTAAGCATTTCTCGAATTTAAGTGGCCAACAAACAGCACTGTAATTATCCCATTTTGAGGAAGAAAGAAGCAGATAGTCACCTGAAACCACACTCCCATAGAAACATGGCACTCACCCAAAGTTCCCCTGAGTCTAAATGCCAATCCCTGCTGCGCTCACAACATATTACAGTTAGGCACAGAATTCCAGAAAACAGCAGAAAAAAATAGTGCCATCAATCAACTAAAAAGTTTTTATAAAAAATTGTAATATTCTTAGGAAGCGAAGGGCAATATTGATTCTGAAATCCGTGGCTGAACAGTAGAGTATTCTGAACTTGTGAATTAGTCATTTTAATGAATGACATGATTAAACCAGGAGCACACACCCCACCACAGTCATCTCTTTCCTTTGTGCACTGGAATCTGCTCACTAGGCAAAAGTATTTTTCTTAGAGACAAGAGAAATGAAGACAC